TATTATTATTATATAGCTTCCCTGCGCCTTCAGGTGGGGGACGGGCTCTGACTGTTGTTTGTATGCACCAAGCAGATTCTCCAGCCTTCTTGGAGTCCTTGACAGGGATGCTGGAAGGTGGTCCAGCTGGGGACTCCTTTATTCTGCTGGGGGACTTCAATGCCCACATGGATAATGACAGTGTGACCTGGAGGGGCGTGACTGGGAGGAACGGCCTCTCTGATCTGAACCAGAGCGGTGTTCTGTTGTTGGACTGGTTCTTGTCCATCACAAACACCTTGTTCCAACATCAGGGTGTCCGTAAGTGCACTTGGCACCAGGACGTCCTAGATCATAGATCAGTGATTGACTTTGTAGTTGTGTCGTTTGATTTGCGGTCGTTTGTTTTGCACACTCGGGTGAAGAGAGGAGCTGAGCTGTCAGCTGATCATCACCAGGTAGGGAGTTGGGTCAGATACCAGACAGACCCAATAGACCTAAACGTGCAGTGAAGATTTGCTGGGCACACTTGGCAGAAGAACCCGGCAGAAAGATTTTCAACTTGCACCTCCAGGAGAGCTTTAACTGGATCCCAGCTGAGGTGGGGCATTGAGTCAGAGTGGGACATGTTCTTCTCCTCAGTTGTTGAAGTGGCTGCCTTGAGCTGTGACCGCAAGGTTGTCGGTGCTTCTCGTGGTGGCCATCCTCAAACTCAGTGGTGGACACCCCAGGTTAGGGAGGCTGTCAAGGTGAAAGAGTCCTGTTGGACCTTTGTGGGCTGGTGGGACTTCGGAGTCAGCTGAGGAGTACCGGAGGACTAAGCGGTCTGAAGCCTTGGCTGTTGCTGAGGCAAAAGCTCGGATGTGGAAGGAGTTCGGTGAGGCCCTGGATGAAGACTCTCAGTCGGCTACGTGGAGATTCTGGCAAACCATCAGGCGGCTGAGGAGGAGAAAACAGCGCTTTACTACCACTGTGTTCAGTGAAGGTGCTGTTGACCTCAACCTGTGATGTCGTCAGGAGGTGGAAGGAATCCTTCTCGGACCTTCTCAATCCCACCGGCACATCTTCCATGGAGGAAGTGGAGTCGGGGGACTTTGGGGATGGTCTGTCCATAACCATGGCTGAGGTCGCCTAGGTGATTAAAAAGCTTCGTGGCGGCAGAGCTCCTGGGGTGGATGAGATTCGCCCTGATTTCCTTAAGGCTCTGGATGTTGTGGAGCTGTCTTCATAAGTAAAGACATGTATACATGTCCAATTTGTATGTTTTCTTTTATTTTTGTCCACTGTTGTCATCACGCTTTGTTAAATCAGGTCTCTCGTATGAGATGAGTCCTCGTGGCTCAATGAGACTAACCTGTAGAAATAAAGGTTGAATGAATTATGAGCCAGAACCTGGTTTTTGGTGTTGCTGAACCAGATCATGATCCACTCCAGTGTCCTAAAACTCTTTAATTTCACCGGAGACTGCAGAGATGTGCTGCTGAGCTGACTCCATCAGATTAACAAATTCAGCTTTGAGGATGATTTGTCCAAAGTGAAAACAGCTGGCGGCTCCAACAACAAACTGCATTCATTTTAAACTGGCTGAAAACAAATAAAAATAATTCAAATCATCCAGGAAACATTTCAGAATGTCTTTCACTGCGTTGTATTTTCTGTTCGGTCGACTGCTGAAGATGGACTTCCTGTTTGAAATAAAATCTTGTCCTCTGTGAAAGATCACCTTGAAAGAGCTGATGCTAACAAGCTAGCCGCATCGTTCATGTCCACCATTACTGCTTTGACACAAACAACTAACAGGACGACAGAAAGAGAGTCCTGCAGGAGTTTGGGTCCCGCCCACTCTACATCTGCATTGTGATTGGTTGATTATCCTGTCAGTTATTAGAAAAGCTCATCCTGAAGAGTCTTTGTATGAGCTCGGCCTTCTCTTCTGACAGTGAAGTCCTAACCACTGAGGAAGAACCTTCAAACATGTTTCTGCCTGCAGACACAGATTTAAAAGAACCTGAGCGGACAAATGTATTTTCATGAATTACAAAGTTTCTTGCACAACTGCAAAGTCATTTATAGAAAAAAAGATAAATTATTTTTTTTAAAAATCAGAAAAACTACATTAATTTAAACGTTTTATAAAATAAATATTAAATACCAATTTAAATGTAACATTTCATATGCGCTGAATTTATGGGCCATCTCTGAAGACGTAGCAGGCCCTGAGGGTTCCCCACTGGTATTTCTTAATAAAAAGACTTGGTTCATGGATCCAGTGGGCTGCAGTCTCACCACAACATTAACGTCTCCACTCTAACGTCAAAGAAACACTTTATTGTATTTCTGCAGTGCTGCACGTATGGAAAATGTTTAATTTGTTGTAGGAGAGCTGCTTCACCGTCCCTGACACGAAGGAGCACAAACAGGAGCAGCGTTCAGCAGAACGAGTACATATTTACTGAAGTGATTTCTGTGGCGGCGCTACGATGATCGGATCAGCCGGAGAGGCCGTGATCCTCCTGAGCAGGTGACCTTTACAGGAGCCTGACAGCGAAAAGGAAAGAGACAAAGAAGAGCGGGAGGTGAACTAAACGATGCTGACATTTGTTCACAGCAGAACGCTGACCTGCTGGGATCTGACTGTAAATATTAGTGAAACCGCAGCAGCTGCTGAGGAACCTGCGTGCCTCAAAACATTTAGTTCTCCGGTTAGAAATCTACTAAAACATCAACATGTTCTCTGAACAACGACAACTACAGTTTTGAATTGTTCGAACAGAAAACAGAAAGTACAGATGGAAACTTTCTGCAGACATTTGGAAGGTCGTCAACTGCAGCTGTTGTCCTAGAACTAGCTAAGTCAGGGTGGTTGCCATGGTGATTCCCACCCTTTTTTTTTTTAAAAGAGTACTGTGGAGGTGGAACACACTGCTCCCCTGACTTCAACAACAAATAAACAAAATAAAACCAACAGTCAAAACTTTAAACGGTATTTATAAAATATCTTGACGTTTAAATGATTTATTAGACCGACGTCCATCCATTATCTTTACCTGCTTTTTCCTTTCTGGGTCGTGGGAGTCTGGTGTCCATGTCCAGCAGTCACTATGCGAGAGGCGGGAGATACCCAGGACATGTCTCCAGTCCATCACAGGGACACATAGAGACAAACGAGACAAGCAACCATTCTCTCTCTCTCTCTCTCTCTCACCTAGGGACAATTTAGAGTTACCCGTCAGTCTAACATGCATGTTTTTGGTCTGTGGGAGGAAACTGGAGTACCCGGAGAAAATCCACGCAGCACGGAGAGAACATGCAGACTCCACACAGAAAAGCCTCTGGACCAGGATTTGAACCAGGGCAACCTTCTTGCTGAGAGGCAACAGCTCCACCAACTGAGCCACTGTGCCGCCCACAGTAGACAAACATGATTTTTTTCACATTTTATATTATTTATGAAAGTGTGCCTGTGCAGAAGTCTAGTTGAGTGAATTTTATGACACGCCACTGACTTTTTCCAGTGCTAATTGCTAACATGGCTACAAGTTTATGAGCATCAGAGCTTTACCAACTTCAAGATGAAACAAACGTAACTGTTATGATGATTTATTTGTATATCATTTGAAGCTTTAAGCTAATTGTAAATATTTGAAAAATTAAAATGCAGAAACTATTCTGCCACAAATTTATGTGATTTCTGTTTCAATGCCAAGGAACAAAACAAATATTCCACAATAAAATTGTTTGTTTTTAAGTTATAAGACAACTGGTTTCTGATCCTGATTATTATTGTCCAATATCAGAGACTTGTGTAAAATATTGTGTTCAATGTTAACTTTAAAATATTAACAGAAGTTTAGGCTAAATCTGGAAACTGCAGCTAATGTATTGCTGAATCATCATGGTTACCATGGTGATTCCCGGGTTTTTTTTTTGTAGAGAAAGAGCGGGGTGCAAACTTCGCTTCTTTTCAACAAACATACAGACAGATTTTAACTTTTTTATCTTTAAACACAGATTAGGGGTGAAAACTGCAGCTTATGTTAAGAAAATCTCTCGAACTGTAGGTGGCAGATTTATTTTAAAGGACAGATGTAATTAGTTTTACTTTGCACAGTGGCCAACATACGTTAAGGTACATTTTAAAGTCATCTACAAAAATATTCCAGTGCTAGTTGCTAACATGGCTACAAGTTTATGAGTTTACCCAGATTATAACATTGATTTCAGCCTTTCTTCATCAAAGAAAGACCATTAAAATCATAAATAACTGATTTTGTTTTTTCTTGAGGATGACTTATACTTTTGTTTCTTCTGTGTCCCCTCCATGTCCCCTCCATGTCTTCTTCATGTCTCCTCCATGTCTCCT